GTGTGCTCTGGTCCATGGGGACATAAAAGTCCAATATGACTTAACAACTAAACAACAACAAAGACTTGATTTAAATCATTATTTTTAAATGTAAAGACTCATTTTTGCTGTTAATTACAAACTTTAATATTGTCAAGGATAATTTCCACACTGAGGCAGAACAAGGCCTATGATAATCAGCAGCCATATTTGACAGGTGTGAAAAATGCTGAATCGTGCAGTCTGGGATGATGCAATGTCCACACCGATTAGTTGTGCATGTTTATAACTGTATGGACATGTGGAGAAGATGTACAGATCTCTTCTAATGAATATCATGCTGCCGGTTTGTACTGCTGAACTTCTGTATATATTGTAAATACAATTGGTGTTGGAAGACCACCAAGTTGTCTTTGTCTGCATTATTCAACTGGACTGGGACAAAAACTCTGCTAACTTACACCAACAAATATTTGCAACCAGATGAAGATTTCCTATTTAGAACAATAACCTGTCAGATTAGTAAAACAACTGTATCAGAACAGATTTTACTTTGAGAATTACTTAATTTTTTATTTAACTAAAACAATAATATTATACAGCATACAGATTCTTGCATTTGCTTAAACATCAATGTGTTCATTGTTTGTACATAGATTTGAAGAACGACAATGGGATTAAGGGATTTTTCCTGAACTTTGTTTATTTTATACAATTTTTATTGTGAAAACATACATGTTACCTAGGCTTGGATTAACTGAATTAGTTTATCAAAAATGTAAATATTGCATGAATATACAGCCTCATGCTACATAACTAAGCTCTACTTCATGCTGAAAAACCTTTGAATTATAATGTATCTTAAATGGAAAACTATATTTAGATAGATTTTTCCTTCAAAAGCATTTCATTAAAGTAAATTTGATTTAAATTTTTAAAATCCAATTTAAAATTTAATCTTATTGTTTAAAAATAATCCATTTTAATCCACCTTGAGACATACATACATATACACATACATACACATTATGTATTACTTAATTACATCTTAGGGAAAAATACAGTTAAAGGAGTTCAGCTTGCATTTGTGCTCACATACAAATGCACTAAATAAAATCACTTATATGAAGCCAACCACCACAGTCTAGTACAATGCTTAGGTGTGTTTCAATGTGGGCCTTGTGTTTTGGAACGTCCCAAGAACACAGTGCACAGACATCTATACTATAATTTTCTAAATTAGTGTGTTCTTGTATAGTGAATGCTAGAAGGGCATTAAATAAGTTCTAAAAGTTAACTATAGAATGAAACCTGTTTCATTCAAATCCAAATTATTTTTTAAAACACAACTCCTAGAATAATAAATTTGATAAAAAATTTCTATTAATTTTTTCTTTTTTAACTTTTTTCTCTCCTATTACCCTGGCAGTAAGGCTACAGCTTCCATCTAGGTTCTGCTCCCATTCACTGGAAACGGTGCCAACTTGTGTAAGCATACCACAAAGGAGAACTGAAACAGTGTCCCAGCAGCAAGCCTTGGGAAGGCAAAGAAAGCTGATGACAGATGCTTCTGTCCTGAAAAGGCCTGGAGAACTGACCTGCTGCACAATGCATAAGAGAAAGGACAGGATGTTGCTCTACCACAAGAGTTGCCAACTGAATGCACTGGCAGAGATCAGCCAAGAACTGAGCAAGTATAAAGAATATATTGACCACAGTAATTGTTTGTAAAAAATTATAATCCTGCTTTCAGAGACCCAGAAATATAACAGTTGGATGATAAACCACAGCCAAACACTGTGGTTATAGTACTAGTGATGTACACAAGAGAGTGCAATTGGAGCTGATAAGCCTTCAGTGCTTCAAGGCAGACTTGAGATACTGTCCTTGGCTCACATGTTGAGCCTGCCACGTGCCAACACTTGGAAAAGGGATGCAAAGGAATCAAAACATTGCCTCCAACAGTACAGCAAATTCACACTACTGATCAAAATAAAGAGCTAAAGCTGAATATGGCCAAGCTACTAGCCCAATCTGGGTTCTCAAAAGAAGCAAATGCAGCAACAGCAAAAATATACTTTGAAATACAGAAAATCCATTTGTTCTGGGCAGAAGCGGCAGCAAATTAAACAACCATCCATTGTAAATTTATAACACAAGAGATCTGTAGTTATTGTCATCTAGGATGAGGCTGTGTTATATAGTTAGGCAGCTGACATGGGTATATACTGTACACAAGCCACTCCTCCAACTGTTCAGCTGCATGGTTGTGCTAGCTATATCTGCATGTTTATATCTGAAAAGCATTTTGTAAGGATTTTTATTTGCAATGCTCCCACAAGTGGAAACCTTGTCTTATAAAACTGCAAGAAACTGAAATAATCAATGCATCACTAAGTATCCTATTCTTCCTAATGCACTTTTTCACATGACAATGAAAAGGATAAATGTTCTGTGGATGCTGGTTTTCTTCCAACAAATGTACAGCTTTTAAGATGACCATTATTTCCCTTCCCCTCCTCCTTTTATTCATAAGATGATTTTGCACAAGAAACAAATGCATTCTTTCATGAGCTGATTTTCTTTCAGGAGATGGGTCTTTATCAACTCATTCTCAACCCTGGCTATTCCACAAATGAACACCCTCCCATTTGCTTTGCCAACTGCAAAGCTGAAATATTTTGGGGATATAGCTGTTATTGTACAAACATAGCACTCCTGCAAACCAAGGATTAAACCGAAGTCTGTTGTTCATGAAATAAGCAGACTATATGATTAGATAACAAAGATAAGTGCTGAAAGTCAAATTAACAAGAAGATAACAAATGCTACAACAAATACAGTCTTACTAAATGGTCAGTTTAATCAAGAAGGTCACCAAGTGCTCTATATTACAAACATTCACACATAATAGGAGTTGGCATGTTCTGCCATACTTGTTTTATTTTATTGTGAAAATCTCTTGAGTAAAACATGGCATTCAAAATAACTTACAAAATTCACTTGACAAAACCTTATACTGTACAGCACTTAGGCCACTACTGAATAATTACATGCATTCAAAGGGAGACACACCCACATACTCAACACATGAGATATAACACTGAACAAACAATAACATAATTGCAGCAATTAACAAAAACACTGACAATACCCACAAAAGGTTTGGGTAAACTTTTCACTCAAAATGTATCCATAAAATTCCTGGGCCAGTCTCTGCTCAATCTTCATTATCGTGTTTCCCCCAAAATAAGACAGGGTCTTATATTAATTTTTGCTCCAAAAATGCATTAGGAAGGGTTTCCCTTCCTCTGGCCAAAAAGTATTTAGACAGTGTGTCACAGCCAAACTGCAGTGATCTCTTTACATCTTCCGATAGGTTAAAAAGTCACGAAAGCAACCTGGCAAACAAGTGGTTTGCTGAGAACGCAAAGGCAGCAGAGAAGTGTTGCTTCTCTAATACCACAAAGCAAGCTTGATAATAAGCCCTGCCCTATGTCTGATCAAACGTCACACTTAGTGTTTTACCAATTGTGTCCTTGTCTTTTAACTTTTTCATTAACCTGTTCTCAGATCCTAGTTGATATATTTCACAGCTGAAGCAAAACTTCCCAGGAGGTAAGAACATAAGAAGAGCCCTGCTGGATCAGGCCAAGGGCCCATCTAGTCCAGCTTCCTGTATTTCACAGTGGCCCCACCAGATGCCTCTGGGAGCACATGAGACAACTAGATACCTGTCTCTTGATACCCCTCCCCTGCATCTGACATTTGAATGTACCTTCCTTTTAAGTCTCAAGATTATACATCCCCCCGCATCATAGCTTGTAACCTGTGATGGACTCTTCCTCCAGGAATCTGTCCAATCCCCCTTTAAAGGTAGTTTTATTAGTCAAACATAGCAGAAAACATCAAATAAAGTGGCACTTTAAAAATGATCAAATCCTGATATGCACTTTCATGGATGGCATCTGATGAAGCTAGCTGAAGTCTGTGAACGTTTATACCAGTTAGAACTTGTTTGTCTTACACATTAAACGATTCTTTGCTATTTTAGCTGAACAGATTCTATTGCTATAAAGTAACTGTGTGGAATTTCTGGTGCTCTTTGTATTTCGTGAAGTGAGAACACTGACAGAAGTACCCGTTGAGCTAAACCAAAATATTCCACAGAAAGGCAAGTAGGAATCCATTAGATTCAATGTGCCTCCAGTATCCCAGTGGAAGGGAACCACTATTACAAGCTCATACTCAAAAGGTAGAGGTTTAATCAAGGGAATGAAAGGCAGATTGTCCAAGTACATTACACAATCTCCCTGCTCAGCTGATAAAACCAGTTCTATAGTGTAATCTGCCACATGGATTGTATCAGGGACAATCTGGAACAATGCTGTAGTTTTCATGGAAGTCATCAAATCTTAAGCAGTCTTATAAGGATAACTTGGCATGAATGTTGAGATTCCTTGGACCCCTTCTGAATCCAAGACAACCTCTCACAGGTTAGTCATGAAAACTGGGCAGATGTGACGTCTGTATGCTTAATGGTCTGACTGTGCTCAGAATTAGGCACAATCAAAACTCAAAATCAATACCTGATCTGAGGAATAACTTGAAGAGACTTGTTCGAATTTTCTAAAACTATATTGCAACATCAAATCCCTAGAGACCACAGTGATTTCTCCTCCCCGACACTAAAGCCTATTCTGGTGCGACAATTAAATAACAGGGACAGTAAAACTGGAAGAAGCCAACCTTATTCACTCTGCCAAGCTTCATGCTAGATTATGAATGACTGGAATCTCATTAAACAGCAGCACTGTAAGACCTGTGGTAAGTTGACAGGACTATTCTGAATACAGAGGCTGAGAAAGAGACTAGAACAGACCACAAATTTTGGATCTTCCTTCTCCTAAACTGTTCTCTCTGCTATACAGTACTTCATTTTTTGTAATCCTCCAACAGGGGCCAGATTCTTGATTCTAAACAGTTTAATGACAGCATGAAACATTTCCACTACAACTGACCTCTCAAGAGTTCCTTTTCTCTCAGGCTGGCACTTCAGTCCTGTTAAATAAGATTATTACAGTAACTGTGAAATTTTGCCAGCCAGTTTTAATACTAAACAACATGGTTATGTTGTATTACAGCATAACTATAAAATGTGGGATAAAATGCTTACTTTAATTTTGAGCAAAAACTGTAGCATAAAAAGTATATATTATTATTTCTCTATATTATTTTATATTTTTTATTATTTTAATTGTTGGTTGTTTTATCTTTATTTTGATTCTATACTATTATGCTTATTGTTTGGAACTGTTTAATATGTAAACTGCCCAGAGTGGCCTAGTAGCCAGATGGGCAGTATAGAAAGGTTGTTTTAATTTTGATTCTATACTATTATGCTTATTGTTTGGAACTGTTTAATATGTAAACTGCCCAGAGTGGCCTAGTAGCCAGATGGGCAGTATAGAAACCAACCAACCAACCAACTAAATGAATAAACAAATTTTCCAAAGACTTTTGACATCTCTTTTGTAGCCTGAATTTTCATAGATTACAGTCTACTTGTTAGATGATATTTTCTTTCATGGTGGACTGCAAAAAGCCTGCCCACGGGATTTGAGAAAGAGCCATTATGAGATATTTGTAATAATAGTGCTCAGGCCTAGTTTGTATAGGGTTATAGGCTCAAGCCTAAGTTATTATAAGTTCCAAACCAAAATCCTCAAACTCATGTGTGTCATATAAATTTGAAATACAGTAGGGGGATTTTTAAAGCGGGAATTGGCATATCGGGAGATGTGCAGAACTCTTTCTGCACTACAGAATACCTGCATCCCACTCCCAGTATTTTGCATTTTTCACAAGGTAAACCCCTTATCTAGCAGAAACCAGTTAGATGAAAAACTAACAGGAAAAGTTGGAGTATAGGTTGAAGAGAACAATTTGCATTACCAGGCAGGTGTGTACAGCTGTGCCCCACTGCACGATTACCCTGCTCTACGACGAATCCGCTTTACGTTGACGTTTTTGTGATCGCTTCTGCGATCGCAAAACGATGTTTTAAATGGGTTTTTTTCGCTGTGCGATGATTGGTTCCCTGCTTTGGAAACCAATTTTCGCTTTATGACTATCAGCAAACAGCTGATTGTCGGGTTTCAAAATGGCCGCCGGCTGAAGAAAATGGCCCTCTGCTGTTTTCTAGGATGGATTCCTCGCTTTAAAGGCACCGAAAATGGCCGCCGTATGGAGGATCTTCGCTGGACGAGCAGGTATTCAGACCACTGGAATGCATTGAACGGTTTTCAATGCGTTTCAATGGGTTTTTAAATTTCGTTTGATGACGTTTTCGCTCTACAGCGAATTCACTGGAACAAATTAACGTCGTCAAGCAAGGCACCACTGTATTTCAGAACTAATTTTTCTAATGTCATGCATAGTTCCACTCCAACAGACAACCATCTGTCAGATATACTTTGATTTGTATTCCTGCACTGAGCAGAGGCTTGGACATGATAGCCTTATAGGCCCCTTCCAATGCCATTATTCTGTGATTCTATGAAATAATCATGATACTTAGGGGCAAGCAGAATACATTCTTTAATTTAAGGTGCTTAGAGTAATGATTTCCCTCCTTTTTTAACAACTATCATGACAAATAATCTCTTGCATGTTCAGAGAGAAAGCTGACATTTGGCAAGGTATCAAACTTATATGGATTGCCAGGGAGTGTTAACACATCCCTTAAAAAAACTTCAATGAATAACCATCTTTGTTCAAAATAAGATAAGACATGAGTAATCAGCTATATTCTGATTTAAAAACTATTGCATAGTTTTAAGCTGTTCTCAACTCTGTACTTTAACACTAAGATCAAAATTCTATGGCCAAAATCCTATAGCTTAGTGCATAAGCCATATTGTTAACTTTTGATCCATTCCTACCAAATAAACAAACCATCCCTATCATGATTCTTGGACAGCATATGTATGCTGGTTTGGGCATGGTTGTTTGCACCCTGAGAATTGCAGTGTGGACATTCTGTTTACCAAGGAGAAACATACCAAAAGCTATAATTTGTTGTAAGCTAAGCAACAGAATTTCAGCCTTTGTGTACTTACTTGGGAATAAGCTCCTACTGTTTTCTTCTGAACACTCAAGTTCAACTAAAACATACTGTGCTGTAACAAAGGATTATGATCAGTGAATTTAAATATAATCTATACCTTTTAACTAGCAATGGAATTGATTTTACATAAGTGTTGCTATTTCAACTATTAGCCTTGAGTAGAATGGCATCACAGAAAATAAGCATACAGCGTTTGCTTGGTTTTTCTCACCCTACTGAAAATGCTCTTGCTAAATACACTGATCCCCTTACTGTCAAATCCGTTGGTGTCTACTTGGTCCTCATTCTCCTTGACCTGTTAATAGAACATAAAACCACCAGTTCATCTTCTCTTGTGTGACTCACATCACACCCCAGTTTCCATGACTTCCATGTCTTCAGCTGCTTCTCCTACTTGAACTGTCCATTCAAGTTTTCATAAGGGCACAATCTGTTGCATATAAAAATGCTGATGTCTCTGCAAATCCATCCAGAACAGTGCCATCACAACGTTTAGCTTTCCCATTACTCAGCTACTTTCTCTTTTCAAAGTATTCAAAATACTTTCTCTACACATCTGCTCTAAGACTCAACAGAAATATCTAGTCCTTAATGTTCAAGTCTCTCACAGCCATGTCCTCCTCTTCACTCTATTCCTGCTTCTGATCTCTACTTACTACTGTAATACAGTGCTTTTCCCCCCAATTCATTGTGATTTCTTTTATTCATTCAGTTTCACATTACTTATCTCAGACAGCTGCACCATTTCTCTTCTGTTGCCCCTTCTGCTTCAGATGGCTCCTTTCAATACCTGTCTTCCTTCTTCCTTCAAACCTCTTCTCAAAACCCAATTTATCTATGAAGACTTTGGTATAATTCATCGTCTCATCTCCTATTTCACTAAACCAAAGCTTGCCAGATATTTCATCTACCTGGAGCAACAGAGCTTGATTCCCCCATGTGCCTACTGGGAGAAGGGCTAGCCTCTGTGGCCTTGGATAACCTGCACAGTCCAAAAGTTCCTTCAAGAAGGGACTGGTAGAAGGGAACCATGTCTGAACACTTTGTACCCAAAAGACCCCAGGAAGCATTGCTGCAAGATGGAATTGATCTAATAACATACAAATTATATTAATTTGAAATAAATGTATGTAACTATGTATACTTTAGTATAAAAGTATGTAACTATGTACAGTGGTGCCTCACATTACGATTGCCCCGATTTCGCTGGAACGAATTAACGTCGTAATGCGAGGCACCACTGTATACTTTACATCAGGGGTGTCCAACCTTTCACCTTCCCTGGCCCCATTAGAAGATGAAAATTTGGTTTGGGCCACACATACATTTGGTTTGGGCCGCATGGGGGGCAGCCCTAGCCTTCCTCCGCAGCCTCGCTCCAAGCGCGCTTAACAGCAGCGACAATCGTAGACAGCAGAGGCTGCCAGCTTCGACTCCGGCGGCTTTATGGGGCCGGGAGGGGGTCCGTGTATTGACGGGGACGGCGCAATGCAGTCATGCAGCCCCCCTATCCCCTCCCCTCCCACTCCTTCCTTCCTTCCCTATCTCCCCCTCTACTGTTGTGACATGCCTCGGCCACATTCTGGCCGCAAGCGCCGGCAGTGTAACTTGAAACTTTGGAATTTCTTTAGAAATAAAAAATTGCACTGGGCCACATTATGATCTGACCTGGGCCGTATGCGGCCCTTGGGCCGCAGGTTGGACAAGCCTGCTTGACAAACAGCTGAACGGAAACATATTCTTCCAATCTGTATATTCCAGCTTCTCCTTTACTTCCTCCGCTGCCCCCCCATTTTATTTTTTTACTGGGAAACCTTGCCTTGTTATTCTAAAAGGCATGGTAATTGTCCTATATGTTATAATACAAACACTAAAACTTTTTTCACATTTATCTTTAGTAAATGTAAAAGATGGACGCCTTGGCCTGGATTCAATAATGTCACTGTACTAGTGAAAGACCTGTTGTACTAGCAATTGTACAACCTCTTCTTGCAGGACTACTTTCCCAGTACTGTACTTTGATCCAACACAACTGTGTTAATGGAATTTCCACTCTATTAACATTGAATTAATTTAGGACTTTGACAGGACTAACAAGAACTCTAAAATGAAGGGCAGCTCTTAAATGTCTTTAATTGTTTTGCCTTAAATACAAGATTGATATCAAAGGCTTCCTATAATGAACTGCACAAATCAGACTACAGTCCTACTCAGCCTTCATAGAAACTAGCACTGTCAACACACTTAGAAGGGAGAACCTAGCCCTGCCCCACTCCACAGTCACTTTCTTCAGGCAACCAGCAAAGCTAAATTTTTCTCACATGTAATTTTACATGCAAGAGAAACACTGGAAAATCTGAATTCTTGTTCATGTGGAGAACCTGTATGTGAGCCAAAAGCTTCATAATCACATTTACTTCTGAAAGTATGACAAAATAAAGATGGCGGGGGGGTGTACATGTGTTTGTAAGGCTAGATACTCCAAAACATATTGACAGTGTTGGGTTTTGCAACACCTAAACAGGGCTTCTGTGAACTCAGAAACATCTGTCAGCACTTCCATCTTTCATACTGTGGTGCAAGTGCACAAGTACCTGTAAGATATCAGATATCCTTGTCCACTCAATGGGAATATGCAAGTGTTCTATGCAACAGAAAACTTAACCCTGGTTTATGGAAATCTTCTGTATATTTTTGATTCAGAAATGTATTTCTAACCAGGCAGATCAGCTGAAAGGCTAGCTCCTGAATCTGCCTACAGATTTAAACAACAACTACAAAAAAGCAGGGGGTGTCTGTCAACTAGTAATATTAGCCCCATGCTTTATGAAAGGCCCATACTTAACAGCTTTGTATATTATCTCACAGAATAATCTTTCTTTCCTGCTGTCCCTTTTATACTGTACTTAGATTATAAGCTTTCAAATAAGAACTTGGCTATTTCATAAGGTAAAGCCCCCGATTTTAAGCACAATTCCAATAAATAATCATTTTTAAATTCAGAAAACATTCAACAGGTGTCAAATGTCACATGACAAAAAACAAAAAAGAAGTCTATTTATCAAACAGATAAATGCACTGGAAGTATTTCCAGACATTTCCGAAATGGTAATATTATTATATAATGAAATGAGAAGCCTTGGCTGCCATTTGTAAAACACTTCATCCTTCTGACCACCCAAATAGTATACCCAAGGGAAAGAGAGTATCAGTAAATTAAGGTAAAAGGTCAAGCAGGATGCTTACAGAGCCAAGTTTAGAGTCCAAAGAAACTGCAGTTTGTTGTCAGCCAACAGAAGAATACTATACACAAAAAGGAAATAAGCAACTACAAAGGAAATTCTAATGGGCTATCCTTAAATTTCCTCCGACAGAATTCAGGGCAAACCCCTGCTGAGTTATGGTGCTTGTTTGCATGTGGCAAATCAATTGCTGCCAGTCCCTTGCCAGCCTTTAACAGAGATTCATTCCAGCTGGCACATACAGAAACTTTTTGCTGAAGGATCTCTGCCCTTACAATACAGGGCAGAAGGCACTTGCCCTAAAAGAACAGTGAATTTTACCCTAATGAAAATTAACTAGCTTCTGAAGACTCAGATATATATTACAGACTGATTTTCTATGGAAAGCCAAAAGAACAACCAATAAATACTGGGGTTTTTATTTTCAATTCACAGAGACACAGTTGTTGAACAAAAACCAATGCAAAACACTTTTTCTTAGGAGTGAGGTAAACAATACAAAAACAAACTGAAAGAACCCTGCAGGAATCTGTTTCCACCACAACGAGTCTTAAATCAGTCTGATTTTAAAAAATCATTTATTTTTATCCACCCTGGTTCCTACTGTAAATTCTAACTTATAGAGAGCTTCCTATAACAAATTTTATATTTGAAGGTTAACAACTTCGAAGTGTTTAGATTCAGTTGTAGAATAGTTTTTGCAGCAACTTGTATGTCTTCTTACACTGGTTGAATACAAATATTATTTATGAAACTGCCTCTATTGGGATTTTAAAATTATTTGGCAATCAAACGTGGCTTGTAATGTCAGATACAAGTAACCAGTTAAAAGATTATTTTTCCCCTTCCAAAGGTTGAAGTCAGAAAAGTATTTAAAATTTAACAGACCTTGCCACAGCATGCCAGATAATTAAAATAGTTGGAGGCAAATTACATCCCTATATGGTCTTAAAATTAAATGGAGAAAAGGTCTAGCAAGAATGACAGAAGATTTGCACCCCAGGAAGTAAACAATGTCATAACCACTTTAAAATAACTATCAGTGACATAAAAGAGTTACTTTGCATACCAAAACCTAGTTTCCCTACACATCCTTATATAGCTTCTTCAATTGCAAGCCTGAAGGACAAATACTGCATGTTGTATTTCAGAAATGCATTCAGGTACGTACTATTTTCAACTACAAAATCACCAATGTGTTTGTTTATTAAGTTATTTCCATCCTCCTCTGAACATTTAAAGACCCCCATTCTCTTTTAACATTACTGTTACCTTTTCCAAGGAGAAGGGAAGGGTAGATTAATGCTCCAATTTAGCAATTGCATTGGATTATACACATTTGTATTCTGTTGAAATTAACTTCACTGTATGCTAAGAACTCAGTGATGCCTGAATCAAGTTTTCTTGCTACAATCCAAACCACAGGACCTTAGTTGCTTCCGTACAACTATGTTTCTTTCTTGCTCATAAGATATTCAAATTTTTTTTGCCAGGAGGAAGATTTTAACCCACTGTGTAAATGGGAACTCCCTAGAGCCAAGCCTTACATTCTTGTCCACTTTTACCAGAAATAACATTTCACAAATTTCATTTAAAAAAAAATACATCCAGAAACAAAGAACTCACTCAAGGTTTCCAAGCTGTTTTAAAGAGAAATACAGTTAATTCTTTGAGCAGCTCTGCCTTGCTAGTCACAAATACATTCCTAATGTCTAAAATAGATACCCTATCATATTCAGCAGTCACACCTCAGGAGCTGAGAGATCACAAGCAAAGTGAACTGTTCTGCAACTTACAGAGTAACCTCCAGAGCAAATTCACAGGCAGCACTGAAAAAGAAGACAACACATAAGCATCAACCACGGGTTTATACTCAAGGTGAACTGAACCCTCCTCTTAAAAAGGCATGTTGATGAGGGTGGATACATAAACACAGTGTCATGGTCACACTCTCTAAACCAATTAGAATGAAGCTAATTTAAAAGAGCTCTTGGTCCACCCCACGCTCCCTTCAAAGCGTGGATACAAGATGAATATTTCTTCT